ATATAGAAATGAAAATTTTTAATAGTAAGGGACATTTGAATTATGTCCTTACAAATAATTTAGGGACCCATCTTTATCTGTGACAATCTACAAACATGTTCCGCTGGTAAATCTAACTGTAACAATGAGATCTTCAAGCCTAAAATGATAAAACTGAGTTATACTAATCAAGAATTAGCAAATGTAAAAGCTTGTACATACCCAAGATGATAAAACCAACTGTTTCTAGCTTTCTGATTTTATGCTTCCGCATTTTTATAGTTTTGCAAAGGTCATTGAACATATCTCTAAGCATTTTGGGTATTTTAAATCCCCTTCTTTAATGATCCAGAAATATAAAAAAGGTGAGAAAACATTTTTACGGGATTATTTGCAAAATATTCAATACTAACTTCTTTGTCTCCACAGAGGAAATTGAATCTGAATCTTAAGTGCTATGGGAACGTTTACAACCCGAAGATGTTTCCTCCTACTTGCCCACTTCTTTTTTGTAAGGTATGCGCAGTTGCTCTCCATAATGTTTACCTGACTCATCAAGCGTAAGAAGGGTTTCCATATCGTAGATTCTTTGGACTTTGCGCTATTATTATAATTTACATGTATATAAGATTCCTTGCAGGAAAAATACATAAATGATATTGAAAAAAATTCTCTATGATATCCTTACCTGTAATCACTCAATAATCACCTCTTGCCAAAAAGAATCCAAGTCACTTTTGGTATGCAGTAGTGAATTTACAATAACGGTACGATTTGTATTTAAAAATCTACATATGACCAAAGACTTGAGTCGCACTTGTTCAAATAGTCCATAAGAGCTAAAAGTAGAACAAGTGGAATAATGATTAATACTTGAAAGCTCTTTTTTAACCTTTATTACGATACTTGCCCGTGTAGCCAGGAAATTTTTCCGTATAGCTCATTTCAGAAAATAACCGAGTTTTAGTCAGGCATGAATGAAGTATAATATATCGATGCAAAGTGATTACATGAGATTATCTCTTATAGTTCACATGACGTTGCTCCACTATTATGTGAAACCTTGTCTATTAATTGATCGACATTTCTGACTTTTAAATTATGATCTGATTAAATTTCGTTCATTTACCCGATTTTCACTTTGTGGAAAAAAGAATTCTACCTCTTTCTTTAATAGTCTATCGGTAAATTTTTCAATACTTGAAGGAGTAAAAAAGGCAATCAGAATTTTGTAAGCTATATAAAACGGAAAATAAATAAATTTTGACTTTTTACTGGTTAGTAATCTGTGCAATTAAATCTACATATATCATTAGAATTTACGTATTCCCAACAATACCCTCCGGTGCTTTTTTGATTTCCTCGACATACATCTCCAATATTATTAATTTTAGTTATGCATTGTGCTTCAGTTGAGGATTGAAATTCTCGAAAAGATCCATCATCGAAAATCTGCTTAATGACACGTCGATGATGCTTGTTGCTACAAAGCCCAAGTTGTACAGCATGTCTAGAATTTTCTTTCAGCGTGCACCACTCAAGGTTAGAGGCTTTGTTGTTACTAATATCTCCATCAATATGATTTACATATTCTTTGCTTTCTTCTTGCGAGCAAAATGCTAAGGCAACAAGTCGATGAACAGAATAAAGGTGATTTTTGTTACCAATTGAAAGATATCCATTACGTAACGATCCTTGAGTAATATTACCTTTCCTTTCCTTAACTAAATCCTGCCTAATGATGAAACTTTGAACTTTGGGATTGATATTCAATATCTCTTCATTATTCACTGGAATCGTGTTGTACAGAGAGGTCGCATAAAATTAAGCTGATAATCATAAATTTTATATTACTATTATTTTTAAAATTATTTATTGCTATTAAAAATGTGTCTACGTCATGCTGCGCATTAATAAAATGCGTTTGTTTTGATCTGATTCTACTATTTAAATAAAAAAAATTTTAATTTTTAACGCATATACACCAATGGGACGTAAAAATGATCTTAAGGAAGGCGAATGCCATACAGTAGAAATGCTAAAAAAAGAAGGCATGTCTGCTGCTAAAATCGCGCGAATTATTGGAAGGTCTGATACTGCCGTTAAACACTGCCTTAAATGGTTAAAATCAACAAATAATTCTGGCTATCTGCAAAGAAAGAATAATGGTAGAAAATCAGTGATAACTGATCGCTTCGAATGATTTATCTTACGAAAAATTAAGACAAATCCAGAACTGAGAAGAATGCCAAAACACATACTAGTTGCCGAATTTCCATCCAATCCTATT